TTTCAGGAACATTTGGCAGGGGAAAAAAAAAAGAACATGTGAATTTTTTTTTTCTTTGCATTTTTTCAAATCTTTTAACCACCTCTGTCCAGGATTCCCAAGAAAATCCCTCTCTCCCAGAAAGCTGCGGGACTCACTGCAAGCAGCAATGTCTTATTTCCTCCTGCTGCCGCCTTCCTGCAGACCTGAACGGTCTCCTTCTGGGGGCAGGTAGCATGGCAGCGCAAGGCAGCCCGAATCTGGCAGCGCAGAGTACCTGATGTCTGCCTGGGCAGGGCTAGGATGTTGGCCCTGGTCACGCACACCCTGTTCTGAAGAAGCTATGAGTTTCCTTTGCTCTCACCCTAGTGCTGGAGTTCTTAAGGAAACATTTATGAGCACAGGCAAGCAGTGAGATAAGATATGGCCGGGACCACTGGCAGGGTGCTATAGCTGGAACAAAGAGCAGTGCTGGGAGGCTGAACAGCTACCTGACCCTGGAGCACAACCTCTTACTCTTTTCCAGGCTCTGATCTGAGGAGCAGGAGAAGAATTTCCTGCTTATGCTATCATTGCACCCTGCAGCAGGCCAGGGCTTGCACCCCTGAGCAAGCAGGACTGATTTACCTGCGCCCCCCCCATTCTTAAACTGGAACGAAGTCCAGGGAGATGCTGAGGCCAATACCAGCTGCATATCTAGATGCTGCTGTCAGGCAGTGGTTGTCCTGAGCACGCTGGAAAGCAGAACAAAATTGAGCATGCATCCTCAGAGGAGCTCGCCATGGAGCAAGGGAGTAGCTTGCAGTCAGCATAGGCTGGTTGTATGAAGCTCCTGGCTTCCCCTGATCTCGCCCCACAGTCCTGCTCCTAGCCCTTTGCTTCCTCCCTTCCCTCCGTGTCACGGGCAGCTGCTTGGTGGGGTGGCCTGGCACAGCCCTGCTGTTCCTGTAGCTGGGTGATGAGGTGGGGAGATGGCAAGGGCTGCAGGAAGGGATTAGTAAGTATGTAAGAACTGGACACTGGTGGCTGGGCAAATCAGTTTAGGGAGAAGTGACACATTTACAGGACGGTGATGCCTTTCTATCACAATATTTTAACTGTAAACAAACAGTAGGAAAACAGTAGCTTCTCCCCCTTTGCCAGCCCTGCCTCCAGGCTGATGACCTTCTCAGCAAGAAAATGGTGCTGTTGAACATGAAAAATTACTTCTTTGACTTTGTTGTATTTGTCTAGCAACAGAAATATGCATTATGTGAGGAGTGGAAAGGCAGCACTGGAGTGACCTGCATTTATGTCACTGAGTAATGCTGAAGGAGCTTATTAAGGGTGAGGAAGCTGCAGAGAGAGTTGTAATGCATTATCTTCATCTTGTTCTTGAATTGTTTCTTTCAGTGCCAAAGACATGAAGCATCGTCTGGGCTTCTTGCTGCAGAAGTCAGACTCTTATGACTACAGCTCTTCCCAGGGCAAGAAGGAGAAAATATCTTCAAGCCAGAGGTAAAAGCAGATGCTGCCATGTAGTTAAGCCCAGGCTGGCTGCAACATGTTGTTTACTCCTTCACTGAGCTGAACTTCATTAGCGTTTCTGCTGCTGCTTCCCAGTACCTCCTGAACACCTGTGTGTTTGAATCTAGTGTGGCAATAGTCCTCAGGTATTGATAGTCCCTTTCCATGAAGAAGTTGAACTAGAGGTCCCTTTCTGCCAACACTTCTGCGATTCAATATGCATGTGCACGTGGAAAGACTTGTGCAGTCTCCTGTGCAGGGGAATGATGCCATCACAAGACCCAGTGCGACTTGACACATTGCAGAATCAGCATCACTCGCAATTTGAGTTGGATTTGTGCAATGGTCCACACAGCTGCACAGAGGAATTGGCACAGAAAACAGAGCGCGCAGTCTGTCAGGGTATCACTGCTGTCACTGAGGTGCAAGTAGATGGTGTCCTTTCCAAGGAGGACTCCAAAGGCCAAGGTATGCTCCTAGAATAGATGAGCCCTAGGATGTTCTGGTATGGTAGGGGGAACGAATGCAGGATGTGTTCCCACATTCCCAGTTCCCATGTTCCTCTCTCTTCTGTATCGCTACGGTTCCCCTGACAGGTTAAAGAAATCAGCCCTTTGGAGTTCACTGATACGACCTGTAAGAGTGATCCAAGGTCCGTGCCCCATCAAGAGATGCAGCCAGTCACAAAATAAACACAAAGTCCCCAACAATTTTTCCAGGAAAATTCCTTTCCAGTCCATGGCTGGTGATGGGGGATTGCAAACCGGAATTTCTGTAGATTAGATCTGGGATCCCCGGGGGTCTCTGTAAAGCAAGCAGACATTTCCTTCTTGGTCTCTCATGTATGCTCTTACAACAATCCGGGAAAGAGATTTTCTAGCGGTGCTGAGCAAAAAAAAAAATTGTCCTTTCTGTGCTCCCCTTCAATCTTCCCTGTGTTTCTCCCTTTGTCTCCTTTTAGGGTTAGCCAAGAGGAAGTCAGGAAGTGGGCAGACTCTTTGGAAAACTTGATCCATCATGACAGTAAGTAAAGAGGGCCCTTCTGTTGGAGATGTTGAGGGTGCTGCCTGCGAGGTTTGTGTGCTGAGCAGTCCCTGGAGGGGGCATGGGACATTATCTTATGTCTCTTAGCAGCACACAGTAGCTCCTTTGGCCACGCAGGCCTTTGGGAGGGGTGGTGAAGGGTGCTCTTGGTCAGATCCAAGGGACAGTACCAATGTATCATGAGTGGGGCTTTGACCTACGGCTGAGCTGTCCCTTTTGTGAAGGCAACTGGTTTAGCCCTGTGCAAGGGGAGGGCAAGACTGCAGCACACAGTTAACAGTGGGTTAAACAAGAACCAAGAAGTGGAGAAACTGTTTGCAGCTGAGCCCATGGGAGACTTCGTCTTCCTGTCGGTTCCAGGCTACACTGATGTCCTTGATGTTTCCTTTGTGTTGTTCTCATGGCCTGAGACTCTGCGGCGTGTGTTGGCTGTCTCCTTGGGGCCTCCTGGGAACACACAATTTGCTTGTGTTCTCCTGGCTGAGCCACTGAAGGTCACAGTGGGGGAGCAGGAAGCTGAGGACCCACGTGTGACATCCCCATGGGGCCTGTCTGAATTCCAGCCTCCCTCGGCATGCACAAGCGACTGCCGTGGAGGCAGGCAGCCATCCCCAAGGCAGCTGCTCATTCAGCTCTGGGAAGGAGAACGCAGAATTGCTGTTTGCTGTGGTTCATGGGTATGACTATCCAGGAACCAACACTCTTACCTGATCTGGTTTTCCTCTAAACAATCTGTAGGAGGACTGGCCGCTTTCCGTGCTTTTCTCAAATCTGAGTACAGTGAGGAAAACATCGAGTTCTGGGTCAGCTGTGAGGACTACAAGAAAACCAAGTCGCCAGCCAAGCTCAGCCCCAAGGCCAGAAAGATCTATGACGAGTTCATCTCAGTGCAGGCAACAAAAGAGGTATGTGCACAGAACATTTCTTGAGCAAAGGTGTCACCCTAAATCCCGAACAAGGCCAGCAGCACAGGGAAGTGGAGATCTGGTAGTTTCGTAAGAGTTGAAGGGTGCTACTTCTCTGTTAGTTAACAAGCAAATGGTGTCATTTTTATTGCTTTCATATTAAACGTGGATAGAGAGAAAGTGGGTTTAGTTACAACCACGTGACCATCCCATGAGCACACTCAAATGGGAGAAGCCCGAGCGGACTGTGATTCCCAGTGTTCCAGCTGCTCCTGTGCAGTTGTTCGAGTTTCCTGGCTGGCTGCATCCCGGAGGGATATGTGTTAGTCTCCCCTGACAGTTTGTCCGGCAGCAGAGATGCATTGGTATCCAGCTGCACAGATTCTGCCAAGGCTACAGGGTGTCCAACGGCCATTTCAGACCACTGTCCATCAAGGACAGCTTAAATATGTTTGGTGAAGGGATGCTTGGATTTTCCTTTACCTATGCTAGCCACTTCCGGGACAGATTCTGCTTACACTGTCCCTTTGGCCCACAGGTGAACCTGGATTCGTGCACACGGGAGAAAACGTGCCACAATATGCTGGAGCCTACACTGTCCTGCTTTGACGAGGCTCAGAGAAAAATATTCACCCTCATGGAAAAGGATTCTTACCGCCGTTTCCTCAAGTCCCCCTACTACCTGGACTTGATCAGCCCACCTGGTGCTGGCTGCGGGCCCGAAAACTGCAAAAGAAGCCACACTCACACCTTAGACTGCAACTCTAACATCATCTCTCAGTGCGCCTGAACCTGCAGCAAGGCAGGGGTGGGTTGGGCTCTTGCAAGAATATACGGCAGCAAAAGCATTCATTGGCATGAAGCAACAGAGCTGTCTCCAATAGCTAATGTCCCAGTTGTATCCCATGTCATGCAACAGCCAGCATTTGTAACCCAAGCCAGGCTCAGTTTGTGTAGCAAACCCTCTTCTGACTCCATCAGTGAAGGAGCCCTGGAGTCTGTCTGACATGAAAGCTGGGTGCAATCATTGCGTGCCCGTTGTGTTTCTGGCGAGCCCTGCAAGCTCAGGAGGGTGGTGGGGGAGCACATGCTCAGACCCAGCGCTACCCACCAAGGGACCAGACTTGCAATGTTGCAGTGTGACACCTAGCAAGGAGCAGGGAAAAGAGGAAGCCAGGGGAAGCGTTGGGGACTGTGATCTCCCCTTTCTAATTGGCAAAAGCTCAGATGAAAAGGGCTTGCTGTGGTCCTTAGCTGTCCATATAGCTCCCAAATGTCTAGGCTTTCAGTATTATTTGCTCAGAACTCAGGCTGTGCTGCATTATAGTCATCAGACATAGGAAGAGCTCCTACTCTTTCTTGAAGGGAGACCAAAACTTTCAGAAAAACAGCCTCCCTCGATCACCACAGCTACAATCGCATGGAAGCTCTCCCCTCTGGCCGCTTCTCCCTCTGTAGCATCTGGTTTATGCTGGCCAAGGATCTTTCCTAGGGCTGTACAGAGCTATTATTTTGGGGAAGTTTGTTATTTCATATATTATTAATTGTGTCCTTCATGCTCCCAGGTTAAATACTGTAGCTGAGCCGAACAGAAACATGTTCCTTCTCTCCCAGACTGGCAGGTGTATATCGCTAACTCTGGGAGTGCCATCTGAATTCAGGTTTGCCTGCCCTGGCTTGTATGGAGCAGTTTGTGATGGAATAGGACCACAACACAACAGCTGGGGAGGAAAGACCCTGCCTGGGAGTACTTGAAAATTTCTTTTTTTTTTTTTTTTTTTTAAATGATGTTTATGTGAGTTTATAATTCAGTAGTAGCATGACTCACTTTTTTCCTGAAGATGGTAGGAGGAATGTGTCAGTCTCATTACTGCTCCTGGGCTTTGCCAGAAGGCAGCTTACTACTTCTTAATCGCTGCGGTTAGACATGGCCTTCGTTGGGGGCTTTGGGACTGACACTGACCTGCAGTTGGAGGCACAAGGAATAGATGCAGGGCTTGCTGTCTTGGGCTGCAGTACCGGGTATCGCCAGCCAGCAGCTGGGACCGCCTGCTCTGAGCAGTCCAGTGGCTGTCGTCGACGCTCTCCCCCAACCCTTGGTCTCTCCTTAGTTGGATATTGCTGCTCTGACAACCATGTATTCCTCGCTCTGCATTCCAGTCCAAATAACAGTTCTCACACCGGGGTTTTGACATGGCAGGAGGCAGCCGTGGTTCTCCGGTAGGCACGTCCAGGCCCACAGAGAAACATCTCTTTTGACATTTGCTTTATTTTGTATTTATTAGATTGTACTGACACATACCACCCCTGCATGTTCAGCTACGAGATGGAGAGGCTTGCTAAAGCTCTGAACATAGCCAAGCATGTGGCTATGTTTTCTTTTCCCCTGGTACTGGGAACTCTTGATAACTATTGCAAAAACTGTATTGATATTTAAATAATGATGAATACATTCTAAATAAAAATGTTTGCATTAGTCCCTTCTAAAACACCATTGTGTGAACCAAAGAAAATGCAGGAGATGCAATGCATTGGCCAAGGTTACTCTAAAAAGTCATTTTACAAATGGCTTCACTCGGAGGTTGTTTTAAATTACAGAAGGATGAAACAGCCATCATATCCTTCAGATACCCTCGGCACTGTGAGCCTGGGGGATGCTGGCCTTTTTGGGGTCTATGCTGTGCCTGACATGCTCACCCTTGCCAACAGGTTGGGGTGAGCATGAGGCCCCCCTTGACAACCTTGGAGAGGGGAACGTAAAGGAGCACCTCCTCGCTGCAAATGTCTTCCCACCCAGAGCTCCAGAGGGGAACACCTTTTAGCTCAGAGCTCAACCTGTCCCTGGGCCCAAACCCTGCGAGTGCAGAGCTGCTGCCTGAAAGTGGCATGGCTGGGGGCGAGCAGGGCTGGCTCTTGCTCAGCCCCCGCCCCTGCAGGCACCGCGGCTGCTACTGGAGTGTGAGCTGACTCTGCCAGCTGAAGCCCGAGGCGGCAGCAGGGCTGGGGGTGCCCATGCCACACTGGCGCTGGGGAGTTTCCTCTGGACCAGCCTCCTGGGGGGATATTTTTATTCCCTTTTCAGTTTCCTGAGAAACCATCACATCTGTTGCAGCAGAAGCTCTCAGAGGCCTTTGGTCTTGCCAGGGCTTTTGGCCACAAGTTTTGGGAGTGTCCCATAGAGGGTAAGGAGATGCCACGCCTTCAGCGCAAAGAGACAAAATGAATAGTCCATTGAGATGGTAGCAGAAATACATGTTTATGTGTGGATTACTGAGTGGTACAAGAATACGGGTTAACACAATCAGTTCCTCAGTGCACACCAGTGCCCCACATGAAGATCTCTAGTGGAAATCAATGGAGAATGTCAGACTGAAAACCTGCTGCTTGTGGGTGTGAGGAGTCGATCCCCGCTCCTGACCTCGCCCTGGCCCTTGGCCACAGCACTCGGCACCCTCCAAGGAGTGACCAAGGGCTGGGGGGAGCCTGGGCGAGCCCTGGGACACCCTCAGCCCCCCGTGGGCACCGGGCAGCTCCTGCCACTGCCTCGCAGACTTAGGCAGTCCCGAGGACTGGGACTGGGCAGCACCGGCAGAGCCCTGCCTCAGCGTGCCGGGGGAGAGCTGGGTGATTCACATCGTGGCTGGTGAGGTGTGAGGGTCCAGGTCAATGAATTAACCAGAAAACACACAGCGAACGATCCACCAACGTTAATCCCAGGGATGCAGCTGCAGGGAGCCCTCCTCCGCATGTCCAAGTGGTGGGGAGTAGGTGCCAGGGAGGCACAGAGGCAGCGCCTGGTGCCCGGGGACCCCAGCTGCAGCGTGGGGTTGCCTTGCCCCATGGCAGGGGATGGGGTTCCCTTGGAGAGCGTGAGAGCTGCCTCCTGCGCCGGCTCAGGCACCAGGACGTGCCGGGGCTGTGGGCACCCAGCGGCCACGGGCACAGGGCGATTTCAGAGGATGTTTTGGAAGATGCACCTTAGCATTCACTCGGGTGGATGGCCAAGGTTTCCTTCAACGGGGTCTGGGACTGCGATAAACCCACACACACTCATCTCTGTGCCAGACTGCAAGCACAATATCCAGAAACTCTGCTTTTTGGCTCTCTGACTCACTGGGGATCCAGATGCCCGCGTTAGGAGTATGTATATATGTGTGTGTGTATACTTGTCTATGTCTACAGGGATATAGATGTACAATGTCATGTGTATATTGTCATACATATGCTAAATTTCATGAAAGCAAGAGTGATAAAATACATGAAGTATTTCCTACCAGAAATATAATGGTTGGTATCAGCCCGACAGTAAATACCTCTGGGTCTGTGGAAAGCTTGGCTGCGGGGTTGGTACAGGCATTGCCGCCTTTCTGGGGTGCGCCTGCCTGAGTAATTAGCCAAACGACCCTTCTACACAAACACAACTTCTCAAGAGCTCCAAAACACTTCAGGGGCCACATTTTATAGCCACCCAGTAGCTCACTGGCACCTGTTCAATCACCCCCTAAAGTAGGCTTCCAATATTTTAGCAGAAATCAAGCTGGGGAGGGATTTCCAATAGAGCTGTTTCACCTCTCCTGAATCCAGCCTCCACCTTTCTTTTTGGCACGTACATACCCAGACACCTTCTCCCTGCCCCACACGTCGCTGTGGCAGCTAGTGATATCTCAGGTTTTGATGGCATGCAGCAAGCCAGCCTCGAGCAGCATCCCAGCATTGGCATTTAACGGTGAAACGTGCGAGGGTATCTGGAAATAGCTGCCAAAGGATTAAGTAAAAATGAAAGATCTGGGTCCTTCTGCAGGGAAGCCTGTTTGGTTTTGCATTTCTATGAGTCGCGCTGTGAATAGGGAGCTTGCACATGGCGAACCCGCTTGTCTTGACACCAGTTCATGGAGATGTTAGGAGGGTGTAGGGAGCACGCCTGGGCAGGAATGTGGGAGCACCCTGCAGCAGAAGGCCTGGCCAAGCCCCCAGCCCCCCTCCCATGCCCAGCCCTGCACCTGCCTCCCCTTTGTTGCCCACCAGCTCTGGGCAGCAGGCACTGCTGGGGGGATCCTGCGCCCTTTCAATGGGACCCTCCTGCTGCTCCTGGACTCCCTTGGGCTCTTTGGGGCCACCCAAGCCGCCCCCTGAGCTCACCCCAGGGGAATGCCCCGCGAGCGTCACCCCTGCCGCTCCAGCACTGGCTTTCCCAGGCCATTTGCTCCAGAGGAAAAAAAAAGTCACATTTGTGATGGCCTCCATCCTTCCTCTGCCTCGCCATCCCTGCCTGGAAAATGCAGCCCACTTCCTGCAGCTCAGGATGTATTTTTCTTTGTCACCATAGTGACAGTGTGTAAATATTTGGGGCTGGTGGGGTTTTGATCAGATTTTGAAAGTCTTGAAGAGGCTGGCAAACCCATTGTTTATGTTATTGCATTTCGAATGGAGTCTCATGACTTGCAGTTGAGGTTGAGCGGCCAGGGGCGGCCGGTTGGAGCTGCCTGCTGGGAGCACGATCGCTTGTTATTTTGCTGGCATCTGTCGGGTTGCCGGCTGGGCAGCTTGATCCCTGCAGTGTGCTCGTTGCAAGCCACGGCCCTGCAGATGCTGTACCAGGAAACCATCGCAGGGATGAAACGTCGAGGGCCCACGGAGCAGGGGTTCATCGCATTTGCCTCGAGGCTGAAATGAGACCCCAGCTGCCTTTCACGTATGCCCTTGCCCCATCCTCAGCTGTGATTTCTTCTGGTAGTGAACAGTGGGCTGGCTTTGAATCATTTGAAAAGAGCTGATCTTTTTAAGAGACAGCCTTATGGAAACGCATGTCCTGGACAGATGGGAGGAGACAGGCGAGAGAGATGCAGGCTATACAAACTCAGCAGAGTTTGCCGTCTGTTCAAGAAGACAGGGGTTTATTTTTCATATTTCCAATGATGGTTTTGTCTTTGGGTTTGGGTTTTGGTTTTTGTTTGTTTGTTTTTTTTTTAATTGGATCTGAACAGTTGCAATTAGCAGCTTTTTTTCCCTCAGCATGATTTTCCTCCCTCGTCTAATCGATGCCCCTCGATTGAGTTTGTGCAGAAGTATCGCTTTGGCGTGCCTACTGCGGAGAGAAGCAACTGGAGCAAGAAACAACTGCAGCAACACTTGAAGCTGCAATCCAAGCACACCACCAGCCACTAGCACTGCTGAGGGCTGCGCGTAGGCACTGGGGACACGGGCACAGGCTGCAGATTGTGAGCTCAGTACGTCATGCAAGTGGTTGGAGCGAGCGGGAGGTCTGGGTTGCTAAACAGTCCCGGTGTTTTGAACAAACAGATCTCATTTTATCCTCTTTACTGTCTTTAGTGTGAAGCAAACAGGCTGTCTCACAGCTGACTCCCAGTGGAGTCACTGGGGAAGCGGTGCTGCAGGCTCGCTCTGCCCACCCCTCATGCCAGCCAGGCAGCCCCTGCGGCGCACGGCCGTGCCGCTCCCAGATCTGCCGTACCACCGTCCCTGCCATGCAGCCATCGCTGCCATACAGCCGACCCTGCCGTACAGCCATCACTGTGCCTGCCGAAAAAAAAGGTGATGCTGATCCCACGGTGGACACGCCCCACCCTGCACCCCAGGGCTGCAGGCATGCTGGACTTGGCCAGGGAGGGGAGCACGCATAGGGTACCCTATGCAGCCTCAGCAACACCCTGGGAAGCTGGGAGGAGGGAGGGAGCCTGGAGCAAACCAGCGATAAGGGCAAAACTGGGAGAAATATTGTAATGTCCTAAGAAGTCCTAAGAAGGCAGAGCCAGCACCTCAGAGCCTCTGACTAAAGCCGAGCCCCACAGTGCCAGCGATGCACTGGCTGCCCAAGTGGCTCCCGGCTGCTGCAGGGCTGGGGCTGCTCCACCGCCCTTCTGGGTCCCAAACCCAGGGAGGATCACCAGGGGTTTCTGCTAATTGGTCTTTTGTAGGAGAGGAAAGAGACTGTAAGAGAGGAGACATCAGTCCATCTGACAATCCAAAGCACGGGGGGAAATGTTTAGCAATGCCCCTGGGTGCTCTTTTAGGCTGGTATCAAGAAAGCAAAGCAGTTGCAGGAGAAGGGGCAGGTGTTCAGACAGAAGCAGTGGGACCGCCCGCAGGGAATGCCTCGCACAGCCCTGCCACATTGCTACTTGATTAACTCCTGATAAAACTCCGACCGCACAAATCTGGGCAGGGAGTCTTTCTCCATCAGGGCAAAGATCCTCTTCTGGGCCATGTCAAAGCTGCTTGGTGATGGCTCCACCAGGTTCTTCATGGTCATATCCTTGGTGAAGTGGTCGATGTTCACCTGCGATGGGAGTGTAAGAGAGATGGGGACCCTGCCTTTGTGAGGGGTGGGTGATGGCATCTCCCCTCACCTGCTCTGTCCCACCAACAACCACGCAGAGGTTATGGGGAGGGACTGAAGTGGGTTCGTTTATCTGGGGGAATTATTGGTGGCAAATCCGTAATGAAGGATGAGTTCTATCCTGCAGCAAATGTAACTCTGGGGTGAGGGCTACCACAGATTGTCATCCCTTATGATTAATGTAGGCCCTCTGTGGGGAGAGGGGGACAGGCATGTGCTGGAGGTGCCTGTGGCAGGAGGCAGCCCAGCAGAGGCTGAGTGTGTGAACAGGGGCACCGTGGCTGCAAAGGGTGGGAGTGCAGCCCGTGGGGATAGGGCTTCCCCTTGCTGAGGGTACAGCCCTCTGAGCCCCTCAGCCATGGTACAGCATGCCCTGCAGCCATTGCTCTCTTTGGGATGGAGGCCACCTGAGCAGCAGCCTCATCCCTCCTGGCACCATCTCCTACCCCGTGGCCACTGACCTCTTTGGGTGCCTCGGTCTGGATGAACTCCTCATAGATCTTCTTGGCCTTCTCCGCCATCTTCACAGGTGACTTGATTTTCTTGTAGTCCTCGCAGGCCACCCAAAACTCAGCGTTCTCCTCACTGAACTCGGAGCGCAGGAAGCTGTGGAAGCTGGCGAGCCCGTCTGCAGGGGGAACAGGCCCTCGCTGAGCGCTGGGGGTCCCAGGGGGGCCGAGATCTCGCTGAGCACCAGGGGGGGACATGGGATAGGGGGATGTGACTGCAGGGGGATGTGAACTTACAGGGGTCTTGCAGGAGCTTCTCCAGTGAATCACGCCACTGCAGAGCCTCCCCCGGTGATGGCCTGAAGGGAGTAAAGAAAGCCCAGGTAGTTCATGCTTACCCCACAGCCCCAGTAAAGGGTCTAGGTTTTTAAATAATTCTTTTAAAAAGGGGGAGGAATGGAGTAACGAGCTGTGGAGACTGTTGCAGAGCCGGGGTTGATGGTCGAGCAATGGAGATGCTGCTGCATCACAGCATGAGTACCCTCCTCCTGGGAGAGCTGAGTGCCAGGGGAGGTGAGAAATGGTTAATTCCCCCATGTTTTGAACAGAGACGTGGCTGAATGGCAAAGCGAGTCCCCTCTGCAGCCACGGGTCCCTTCCTTGCCCCAGTGCCCACGTACAGGAGGGCAGAGCAGAGGCTCTGCAGGCAGCTGGGAAGCATCCCTATGTTTTTCCACTGGGGTGGGGAAGGATGCTCCCCGCTGAGGAGGGGTGGAGGGGGGCCGAATCCTGCCAGCCCTGCACTGCCGGGTCTGGGGTCAGCGCCCCTCCACTCCCACAGCCCGCCCGCCGCATTCCCACGCTCTGTGGCAGGGCAAGACGCCAGCCTCGGCTCCCTCCCTCCCCAGTGAAAGCCTTCCGTGTTTTTCATGTGCGTGGCTTTTCCTCTTTTGTTTTTGGTTTTTTTTTTTAAATGCAATGCTTGTAATGTGACTAAAGAGGGTTGTGGGTTTTTTGTTTGTAGTTTTGGGGTTTTTTTAAGCCCTGAGGAGTTTGACTGAGTGGGCCTGGGGCACAGGCCTCCTGCCCGCCCTGTTGCCCACCAGCCTATGCCTGGTGCTGGAGGGGAAAGGAAGCCCCCCCTATGCCACTGAGCACTGGGCTCACTGCAGACCATCCCTGCTCCCCGCGGGCAGCACTGCAGCTCAGGCTTGTTTTGCTGCTGCAGGAGCACGGGTCAGGGCTGAAACCCTCTGGGTAAGCAGAGCATCCCTGGGTATGGGGAGGGAGTAGTGGGCAGGACAACCTGCTGGTCCTGGGGGCCTTGGTGCTTCAGCGGTGGGTCTGGGGAAAGTGCAGGTGCTCCTACCCAGCCGCCCTGCCCAGGTGGCTCCAGGGGGGAGACGAGAACAGCAGAAACACAAGGCTTGCTCAGGTTGGGTATCCAGCCCTCACTTGTCATCAAACCACCAGCACCCAGCAGTAAAGACCATGATGGGGGTCTGATCATTTGCTTTCTGAACCTCGAATTGAATTTGCACTTGCTGTCAAGGATCAAAAGCTCTCCCTGCCCCCATGTTCCTCCCAGGTGTCTCCCCACCCCCGGTGAGGGGGAGCGTCGCTGCAGTGACCCAACACAACCCAGATTTCCTGGAAACTACTAAATTCATTTTTCCATTAGCTGAATGTCCCAGGCATGATACTAACTGCAAGCGAGATGCTGACGGGTGAGTGATACTGAAGCTGCACAACGGTGCAGTGCAGGAGAAATCAACTCCTCCAGCCACCAGGGAGTGAAGATGTTCTCCAGCTTTCAGCGGTGATGGCTAATGGGGACAAATGTGTCGTCTTCGCAGAGACATCCAGGGCACAGCAGCGACTTGAGTGTGAAACGTGCCATCTGTCGGGGCTCTGCCTGCCCTGCCTGGCCCGGGCAGCTCTCGCGGAGCAGCAGTGCAGTGGGCAGGCACCACGCTGGCACGTGTCCCTGCACGCTGCAGCCAGCAAAGTGACTGCAGCTCTCTGCAGGCTCACGTCAGGGTGAGCGGGGCGTTTGTCTGCACATTGGGGTTGTTTTTTTGGGTTTGTTTTGGGTTTTTAGCAGACCCTTGGTGGAAGGTTACTAGTTTAGAGTAACATTGCCTGGGCTGAAGGGGAACATGGAGAGAGGGACTGGTGTAAAACAAAAAGTCATGATTTTAAAGTGGAAATAGAAGCCTGGCCTTGTGAAGAATGGGCATGCGCCTCTCCTGGTTTTAGTCGTGACATGGCCACTCAAGCCCTTCTAGATGAGCCCTTGTTCCCGGTGCCATGGGCAAGGCTGGCTGGGCCAGTCAGCCTCGCCTACCTCCAGCAAGTTAGATAGTCTGGGTGCTGTCAGACCTGGGTCCTCCAGCACTGTGTGTGTCTGGGTGCAGCTCAAGGACAGGGAGCAACTCCTTGGGGCAGGGGCAGGTGTCTCCAGGAGAGTCACCCGCATCCGATGGCAGCAGGGCTGAGGGGTGGCAGAAGAGTGGCTGGGCAGTGGCTCAGGCACTTGGCTCAGCTGCCCAAGGCTGGGCTGGAGGTACACTGGCTGAGGCCATCACCCTATGTCCAGGAAGCCATCCTGCCTTTAGATTTAAGCTAACATTTCTTTTGAAGGTTTATTTTGCCTCCTTTGAACTGTTACTCCTGTGGCACAGCCCATCAGCCTCTCTAGCTTTTCCTCTGCTTTGCTTTGTCATTAAACCAGCTTGGTGCCAGAGAGCAGAGGCTTAGGACAAAGGCAATAAGGTGAGACGGTGCCATCATCGCGGAGCTGCCCAGAGCCAGGCATCCTGCCGTGGGGCCATGCACCCAGCTCAGGGACAAGCTGCTGCCCTGGAGCCACTGGGCTGTGCGAGGCTGGCACCTCTGGGCTGAGGTGGGTGACTCAGAGAACTCCAAGTGCCGTATGCCTCTGGCAAAACCTTTATCGAATGAATGTGAAATCTCATCAAAAGTAAATTGAGTTTCCATGAGAAATCTGGTTTCCATAAAGCTGTATTGCCTGACATGTCTTATGCTGCCCTGACATAACTCTCAGAGCCCGCACCTAGCCGGCGGGTCATGAGGAGTGTGCCACGAGCCGCTTGCCACATAAAGCCCGCTGTGCCCACCCTGGGCCCCGCAGCAGGGGCTTCAGCTCCTCTGCATCCCAAAAGGGCTCACATCCACCCTTCCAGCTGGGCACGGGCACCAGCACAGCCTGCCCTGGCGCAGTACTCACTTCTGGGCCTTGGGTGGCTTCTCCGGCTTCTCTGGGTAGGGGATGATGAAGTCAATGGCCGAGTCAGGCTTCTGGAGCAGTGTGCCCAGCTTGGTCTTGATCTCCTTGGCCCTGCGGAAGGGGATGAGCAGAGGCAGGTCAGGTGGAGGGATGGGACAGCAGGGATGGTCCGTGCCCTGCACCTGTACAAACCCCGACACAGCTGCTGGTGAGGTACAAAGCTGTGTAATTAATTACACACGGACAAATGGACCCTAATGCTGTAAAGGTGCCTGGCTGAGGCATTTCAAGCTGGGCACTCAGAATTAGCAGCAGCTCTTGATCTCGATCTCTCTGCTTTGTCCCCATCTGTGGCTGGGATAATTGTATCAGCAGAGCTGGCAGGCTGCTCTGAGGATGAATTAGGGGATGTGTGTGCAGCACTCAGTTCCTATCGTGATGTGCCCCGAGGAAACGCTGGCGAGGAGATGAAGGAGCTCCCTTCAGAGAGGAGGCTGTGCAGTGTGCTGTGCTGGGCTGCACGGCAGTGCCTGCCCCACGCTGAGCCCCATCCCGCATTGCACCCGCCAGGCCCACAACACCGATGGCCTCCGGAGCAGGGTGCCCTCCCCAGGTCCTGGTCTGCAGCCAGAGGGAGTGGGAAACTCTCTTCATCATGTCCCCTGAGCTTTTTGAGATCACTGCCCCTGCCTCCAGTGATGCACAGTGCAGCCCCTGAGCCCACCGCTCTGCTGCCAAGCACCCTCAGCACCACGCAGCCAAAATCCTCCCTGTCCTGGGGGGTGCTATTGCTAACACATAGGTTAGCACACGCCTCTATACTTGCCAAAATCAGGGTCAAATGCTCCTTGGTGTGCTCTGTGCCCACCCCTGCCCCTCCCAAGCACTCACGGCTGGGGGCTTCCTCCTTTCTAGGCACTTTTATTAGGATTATATTATTTTTCTATTGCTCTCTTGGGGACCACCAGCAATGCACGCTGCCAGCAACCCACCACACTTCCTGCTAGTGCCTGCGGTTCCTCTGCTCATGCCTAAGTAATATGTAAGCCTTATGTCTACAACAGGAAGAGTCCTGCAAACAGGTAACTCCTAGGTGCTGCTTCCCCTGGGCAGAGGGGGAAGAAGGGTTTCAGGAGGTGAAGTAGTCTGACTAGCAAAGGAGTTTCATCCTCCATCTTTCATCCTTCATCCATTTGGAAGATACATAGACAAGAGGGGTCCTGGGGCTTGACAGCAGGTCCAGCTCTTTCCCAAATAGTGCCCTTTTATGCAATACAACTTGCAACGTGGTCCCGAGCATGCAAAGCCACAGAGGAGGCCCCCCTCTGCTGCAGCTCAGTGTTGGTAGCAAGAGCAAGCCGAGCTTTTGCAGAAAAAAACTCAGGTGTGCTGCGTAAGACTGAACAAATAAAGGGATGAAAACGGACCCCCCAGCCCCATTTTTGCAGGGCAGGACTCTTCCCTGGCACAACAACATTTGGTGACTTCCAGGCTCGCTGGCACAGGGGGTGGATGAGAGCAAGGGGACACACTGCTTCCCCCACGGGCCAGCTGGGCTTGGTGCCTTCTCCACAGCGCGGCTGTCAAAGCTGGGCTGCAGCTCCCCGGCTTCAGGGCTCATTGCACTTCTCTCTGCTGTTTATTTTCACAAGCCCTCTGTGGACGATTGCTCCCTTGCTATGTCTGCTATTTAATTTCCATTCCTTCAATTTTTTCCCCTCCCTGTAAAACTCCCTCTGTGTTTTGGTTTTCCACCCCCCATGGGTGACTTTTTGAGACCTGGCTTGGGCTCTGCTCTACCGCCGGCTGCCCCCGCTTCTGCTGCAGAAACCTGCCTCCAACAGCCACCCTTGGACAGGAGCGGGCAGGGGCCGGCAAGGCCAGCGCCGGCCAGCACAGGAGCAGGAGTGGGCAGCCCAGCCTGGGTCTGCACACGGCAGGTGTACAGCATGGGGCAGAGCAGACCCAGAAGTCCAACTGTTTTCATGGAAAATGTCAGCAGCTACAGGGACAGCTTCTGTTGATCATGCTTCCGAGAAAACTTGAATCTTGCCTGGAAAGACCAGGACCTTAGTTGAAGGGTGATGAAGTCCCCACAGTCCCTGCACCGAGGTGTCTCTGGGACAGGGATGCTGCCGTGCGCAGTTCATCCCCCTCCCTCTAATAAATAAATAAAATGCAGATAAATGCTCCGAGCTGGAGCTGGCTCCTGATGCCCAGAGCCTGGGGCTGGCTCTCCTGTGAGCCTCAGGTGCCCCTTGGCACCCCACAGGCTGGCACTGCCGTGCTGGTACCCCTACGGCACAGCCCTGACCCACAGCTGCAGCAAGGAGGGGGCAAAGGCAGCAGGAGCTACAGCCCCATTAGCACTGAAGCAACAGGTGGGTGCAGAGAGTGCTCCAGGAAAGCTGATGGGGCATGACAGCCTCCTCCCCAGCTCTGCTTTCCCAGACGTCTGTGCTTGTGGCCACTGTTCCCCTCAGGGAAGGGAACACGTGGGCTCGGGGAGCATCTCTCAAAGAGGGGCTGAGCAGAAATGCCAGCTGCTACCTGGTCCCTCTCCCTGCCACTGCCCCATGCTTGGGAGGGCAGAGCCGGAGATGCTGCTGTGGCCGACCCGGTGCCAGGTGCTGTGCACCAGGGAGGTTCACCTCCAGGTGATCGGACCATGCACCCAGTCGTAGGGGTTTCAGCTGGCAGGAGCAGGGGTGAAGAGCAAGGGAGAAGGGGCTCACCCACCTCTGAAGCAAGGACGGTGGATGCCAGGGGGTCCCAAACAGGCAGGGGGAAAACACAGGCTGTGCTGGGAGCAGGGGCACTGAGAGCCAAATCTAACACATGGCAGCCTAAGGAGGTGGGAAGATAGGACCAGGACTCTGTTGCTGTCTGAGCAGGACCTGGGGACCTCACTACCCTGGTGCAGGTTGGGCCAACACATGCGCAAGATTTGAATGCAATCGATGGCGGCTTCATGCAGCAGCAAGCACTGTCCTGGATAATGCTCAGACCTGGTTCAAAGTCTTGCTCTCCAATTCCCACCTGCTGACAGTGGCTTACGGCCAACATCTGTCGGGCTCAAAGGGCACTAATGGGCCTTAATGGCCCTGAGCAGCCCCAACTGAGCCCCACACCCTGCCCATGGCTAGGGGTTCCATTTAAGCTCAGCCCTGGGACCACCTTCTCTGTGGTTGTGCTGGAGGTGGGCTTCTCCTCAGCCTGGTCTCCTGGCTTGATGTCAGGCCTATATTGCAGCCTCACTGCCTGCTGCTCCCAACAGGGCTCTCTGGATGGCTCCATCCCATGGCGCTTGTTGATGGACCATCAGCAGCTGCCTACCCAGCTGAAGCCCCACAGGTCCCAGTGTGGGGACAGCAGCAAGAACCTCCTCACCCCAAGCAAGTCCTCAGCTGTGGGGCCTTCATGAAATACAGGGAGACCACAGAGATGAGGAAGCGAGAAATGACAGCCAGAGGGCTGAGTGCTTGCAGGCTGGTGGGAGGGAAGGACTATTTAAAGACATCATCCTGGTGTCCTCCAGCAGATGTATTACAAGCTTTCAAGGAAGACTTCAGCAAAGGCTAAACAGCAGGGTAAAAAAGGCAGTTATAAACAAAAAGGCACCCTTCAAAAACCCCCCAGCTATGTCTGAGTGCGAAAAAGCAAGAGGACCATAAACTATGGAAGGTTAAGTGTGAGAACATATGGGAGCAAGCCAAGAAAAAGTCTGAGAAACAGCTTCCAAGAAGCATTAAAAGAAAATACGGGCTCTGTCAAACACATCAAGCGCAAGGAGGCTGTCGGGGAGGGCCAGGAGAGACTCCAGCTTTAAAAAACAAAACAAAACGAAGCTTGAAGAAGCTAAAGCTATAGCTGAAAGCTAAAGCTGCTGCTGTGTCCGAGGGCAAGGAGGTGCTGGAGGGAATGCCCCTTGAGGGGGAAAAAGGCTCCAGGGGTGGAATTCGAGGAGCCATAAACCTGCAAGTGTGATACTGTACGGGCATTTCAGCAGCAGCTGTATCAGATGGCCATGGTAGACACATGGACAAATATGGTCTATTGGAGAGGAGTCAAGGCAGCTCTGGCAGTAGGAAGAGATTCCTTCAAACCTATCGGCCCTCTCTGAAGAGGCCAACGAGCATGTGCCTTGGGGAGAGCCGGGGGGTACCAGGCCCTTGGGTCTGCAGGAGACCTTGGATGGGCTCTCCAGACCCCAGGCAGCTGCAGGGGGGAGAGGTCATCTCATGGATGACAGCGTGGGGAGCAGTGTGGGAAAGGTAACACACAACGCGTAGGGGACGGTGTGTTTTTCTCAGTGGGGACGGTCCTAGGGGAACGTGGGCTGGGACCATGCTGTTAAACATATCACATGCATGGGGAGAAGGGCCGAGTGGCAGATACTGTGCTACCCGGGTACAGCACTTGGGGACCGCTTGTGAGGAACTGCAGGAGGGTCTCGTGAGACTGGCAATGAAGCAGCTGTTGAAATTCCTCATAGAGCAATACAAAACAATGCACACAGGACAAACCCAGTCCTAACTCCATGTATAAAACTGGGCTGTAAGCGAAACGGCGTTTCAAGAGTGAGGATTTGAAAGTGTAACAGAAGTCAGTGAAAGCATCAGCATAGCAGCAGTGAAAAAAATTAATGTGGTATTAGAAAGTAGCAGAAGAGGTGACAACAAAGATGATAGCAGAGCAGAAATGTGTGGTTCACCCACATCTGGAAGAGCGCTGCCCGTGGTGCAGGAGGTTGCAGAAGACCAGGCAAGGTGAGCATGGGGCCATGAGGATGGCCAAAGGGCACGTTTCAAGCAAAGAAATTGTCACAGGCCCATGCTCCTGTTCGTGCCTGTGATGGGAATTTGCCTTGCTTTTGGGCAAGGAGCATCAGCTTTAGCTGATGAAGGGGGACTTCTCCCGGGCTTCCCCCAGGACAGTGAACGCCACCCTCACTCTCATCTAAAAATCAGTACCAAGGCATTTGCAGCTGCGAGGAAATCCTCACTGGGTAATTCACGTGTAAAGTCTTTTACCAAGTTTCCTCCTTAGGTGAAGGATCGAGTGTCCTGCTGCTGCAGGGAGACCCCAGCCTCATGCCGTGGCCCCCCTTGCGCCTCTGCTTCTCACTGGACCCCCTCCAAAGCCCCTCCAGCTCCGCAGGAGTGGAGAAGGGGGCAGGTTTCAATCAGCAGGGAAGTGGCTGGAGGCTGGAGCCTGCCTGGGTTCCCAAGGGGTGAGAGCAGCCTGGGAAGCACCACCACCCCACCACCACCCGGGGCAGGTTTCAAGGTGAGCACTGGGGCAGGGGGGGATGAAGATGAGGATGGGTGCCACAAGCGGGGCAGAGTGGGCTCTCTGCACAGAGCCGAGCCTCGTGAGAGGGGCTAGGGCTGGCTAATCCATCCACGTGTGAGGGAGACGCAGGCAGTTAAAGAGGGTTTTGAGGCATTTTGGAGCCACGGCTGTTTTCGCCTCAGAAAGGCAACCGCTTTCCTGCTTTTTTCCTCCCCCGCCATGTTTTGCAAACATTAAGGTCTGAGGACAACACGCTCCTGCTCCGGGCCCACGCAGGGGAGCAACTGAGGTTGAGGGGTGGGTTTGGGGCAGCCCAGACTTGCCCAGAAGAGAGGTTCCCAACCTAGAGGGGAGAGTTTGGGACTGGATCGGCACTTGCCCCCCTGAGGGCCCCAGCCACTCGCAGCACCACACTAAGCCCCCGCCAGCAAGCCTCCCTTCCCTCCCAGTTCAGAGCTGGACGATCCCAGTCCCCATAAGAGATGTCCATCATGGGGATGTGCTGGAGGAAGAGCCCCTCTGCCCCCAGCCCCCCCCAGCAGAGCCCTGCAGGGAGGCAGGCGCCCCAGCATCCCCGCGCGGGCTGGCCACTCTCACCTCTCCAGGCACGTGTGGGGCAGCGCTGCTAATCCTTTGCACATCTTGGCAGGCTGTAGTTTTCCTCGGCCACGAGAAGAGTGTGAGCGATGGCTAAAGCAGGCAGCAGCAGCTCTGTCTACAGCCCAGCTCCCCCCTCTCCCTCCTATATAGTGCCGGGAGCTGGACCCCCGCCAGCCCCGTAACCAATGCCGTCTGTCCCACTGCAGCTGGCCGCAGCCCCAGCAGCTTCTGGATTTTGTTTTCTCCTCTCCAAGCTCACACGGAGGGAAAAATGTGTTTTTTCTGGGGTGAGATCAGGTAATCAAATTGGAAGGGCCAAACTGTTATTGGAGGGGCTTCAGGAAGCCCACAGGGTTTTGTCTTAATGATATATCAGGCTCCGGGTCAGTATTTAGAAGAGCCAAGTGGAAATGCTTCATTCAAGTAAGGGGTTTTTTCAATGAAAAATGTCACTTTCATAAAAATAAAAGTGCTTAGGAGAAGCCTTGCTGTTGATTTAAAGGCTGTGGCTAATGTCAAAATATCCACAGCTTCAACAGTGGTTATTGGCTGGTGGGCAACAGTGACTTTTGTTCCAGAACAAATTCATTTTAATGTAAGCTTAAAAAAAAAAAAATATCTTTTAATCATATAGCAAATGTACCGGTTTTATCTGACAGTGGCACTTTGAGGCCAAAAAGGATTCCCACCCAGAATTTTGGTAAGTGGAAAATTTGGACCCTTTTTTCATCCCCTTTCAGAGCAGTAAAACACATGCCAGAGCTGCCCGTGATGTGGGACGTGGGGCTTGAGCAGGGACCGATCCCCACCTCCCCCTGCGTGGCTCTGCCCCACCAGGACGCAGCCCCTCACTCACCTAAAGCTTGGGTGCTGCACAGCGCTGCAGTGTTTCTGTTTGCTTGGCTAAGATCTCTTCGACTGCGCCACTAAAACTCGCAATCAAGGAGCCAGTGCCTCCCTATGGTCATGACATCTGTGGCATGAGTTCCTCCCGGCCTCAGCCAGGCATAGTGTAGGTGCAACCCCAGAGTGAGGCTGCCTGCTGAGAGGCAAATCATGGCAAAGATGGGGACCGGCCTGGTTCCGAGAGGCCCTGTAGCCAAAGCCCTGACTCAGTTGCTCCCCACAGCCACTCAGGGGGAGAATGAGCTGCAGCCAGCAGCTGCAATGGATTCACTCCTAACACTGCTTAGCAGTGCTTGGAGTGGAGAGGGTAACTGCGGCCATCCCAGATGTTTCCCTCCTGGTTTCCAGCAGGGATCTGACAGCCTATCCTCGGCAGGGTCACCTGGGGCACGGCTCATCGCCGGGGTCTGCATGGCCAGACTAGAGCCAGCACAAGGGGAAAGTCCTCAAACGCACGCAGGGCGGCTATGGGGGCCTCAGCACCAACTCTTTTGCAGTTTGTGTAGCAGGACTTACACCAACATGGGTCTTTGCTACCCCACATGGGCGCCTGTGCAATTACACCAGCTCTGGCACAGGCACACACAGGCTCTGCTCTGCCTCCACTTCCCTCTCCACCCCAGCCAGGGCATCCCCTGGGCATCCTGCTTGGGGTGTGGGCTCAGGGTTCACCCTGAAAATCTGCCATGTGCTTGCCCCTGACCTCAGCTGCCTGGGTGACTTTGAAAATGTGCATCCAAGTGCTTTGTTTAACACCCACAGCTCGGAGCTGGGAATAGGAGACCTTGCTCCCAACCTGGCTGTCCAGACTCCAAGGGCACTAATGGCCTTAATTGCCCTGACCAGCCCCACCTGCCCCCTCAGCCCGGGGCTATATTTAAGCTCAGCCCTAGGCCCCCTTTCCTTTTCTGAGCAGTGTCAGAGGTGTGCCTGGCTCTGGCTCCTGGGTGGACTTTGGACCTGCATTGCAATCCTGTCTCCTGCTGTTCAGGGATTATGCAGCAAATGACATCTGTGTTTCAGTGTGTGAGTGCAGTAACTGAAAACTAGAAGTCTGCTAGAAACTGTGCCTCCCTGGAGAGCTTAGGTTAGCTTTTTACTGGTTTATAATGGAAATTGAATCAAAAAAGTACACCCTAAAATTTCAGAGGTTGAGATGCTTGAATGACCTTTCACTGGATTTGTGCTGATTAGAGACCCGCAGATGCACCCAAGCAGGGGTGCCAGACCTGCTGGACTTGGGGGCTGCTCCTTCCTGCTGCCCAGCATTGATGTGCCCACCAGCCCCCCCTTGCACCTCGCAGAGGCGGGAAGGAAACAACGGCAGCCGCAGAGGATGGAGGTACTTTACTCCTTCACAGGCTGCTATCATTTTGCCCCTTTCACAGAGGAGTCGGGGGAGGCTCTGTTATTAGCATGGAGGGGCCTCATCCCAATTTGGGGATAGCCCAGAGCCCACTTGCCCCATCTCCCAGCAGCTGGGGTGCAGCCCCACCCTGCTTTCCGAGACACTGCAGCCTTGCAAGCTTAGCGGGTCTGTTGGGCTGTGCTAGTTGCCCTCGGGGCCAGAGAGTGTGTCAGGGCCATTCCTTTGCTAGCAGGGTTGTCACCAGGGTATCCCAAGTGCCAGGTCAGTGCCTGCCAGCCTGGTGGCTGCTTTGAAAGGCTCCTTTGAAGCCAAGGTGCTGTTTGCAGGGTACTTTGCCAGCCGGCTGGGCACCTTCCAGCACGGAGGGGAGCAGGTAGCAGTGAGGGATGGGAGAGAGGTGCCGGCAGTTCTCACAGCTGCTGGGCTGAGAAAGGCAGCGGGGCCATGGGACCACATGGGAAACCCCCACAGCCTTGCGCTCGGCTGCTCAGCTATTGGGAACACAGTTATTTTTTCTCATTAATCTTCAGTAATACAGTCAGCATCGGAAATCCCGGTGGGAGCTCAGATCTGTGGGATCAGGCGGTTTGTGTGAATGCTGTCCAGCAGACACCGAGCACCCTTACGTGCTCTCCTTCCAGCTGCAGCCAGGGCCATGTGCCCCTGGAAAGCAGACAGCCTCTCCAGGCACGCTGGGGGCATGGCTCCAGCTCTACAGACCTCCTGCTGCTTGGATGAGCCCAGAGCTTTGCCCCGTGAGACCCCCACAGAGGAACTGGGTCTGTCCCCTAAAGGCTTTTACCTACTTTACCTCTTTCAGTCCTGGGTGGGCAAATCCCCTGGTCCTGTGGCTCTGCCATAGATCAGTGACCGATGCTCTATAATCTCTTCCACAGCCCCAGGGTGGAGGTTTAATGACTGCACAAAGCAAGTTGGGGAAATGAGGTCCAAAATGAGCGATGAAGCTTCATGCGAGAGGGTTGTAAGGAAGCTATACCATGTGCTGAGATTGCAGTTGTGCATTTTAGCAAAGACTTATCGGAAACACTGAAAAAGAAACCATATACCATTGAGCAGAAACAAGGGTTACACAGAAATAGCTTGTATTTTCCACAGACCTTTGTCCAGTAAGAAATGTTTGGTTTGTGCATTTCAAGGCTTTACAGTGCTAAGAAAATATTTCCAGTAAGAAACTACCCAGACCTTCCTTTTCTTCCCACGACAGTTTAATTTCTTTAAAAGCCCTTCTGGGAGAGCTTTTTGGAGATCCAAGTGCACTCCAAGGTCCAGATTGTCTTGTGTATACAACGGCTGGTTTCCTCCAAGAGTGCTCTAGGTTTGTGCCTTGCAGCTGCCCCCTCAAAAGCCACGTGGAATCTGCCATTACACCAGATTTATCCTGGGCTCTGTTATTTCAAGACGTTATTATCCTTTCTAACAACTTGCCTTTTATAGAAGGCAGCCTCACTGCTTTGCAGTTTCCTGGTTCCCACTGGAACTTTTTAAAAATTAGCGTCATATTTAACAACGTTGGCTTTTTGGTAGAGGGATCACTGTAATTCTCACCCAGGCGAATATTTGGCAGTTCATCTGAGCGCTCCTTCTGGCAGATTTTTAACCATGTGTTCTAAAAATGGGGTTAAAATCTCCTTCCTCCCCCCCCAGTGCCTTGGGACAGTCATGCAAATGCATGTCCCCTAAGGACGAACCTAGTGTGAGCTCCTTCACAGCAAAGGCCAATGCAAGTAACTCACCAAGCTTTTCCATGATGGCTCTTTCCTTCTCATAGAGCCTGATCACGTCCTGTCCCCAAGGGCTCTCTGGAGAGCTTTCTGCTTCTCACATAGTCATGATTAATTTTTATGCCTTTAGGATGCTTTCCTCAAATCTTCTGTGGCCTGCCTTTCACCTGTAACTTTCCAGAGCTTATATTCTTTTTTTACTCTCTCATCTGTATGCAATTTTCACTTCTTTTAAGGTCTTGCCACTTCAGGTGTTCATTTCCACTCCCCTGTATAAGCACATCACCTTTTTTAAGGCCAGCCTACCTCTCATTTCCCTTTTGACATTAAATATTGCTTTAAAGTTACTGCTTTTGCTCCCACCAGGACAGTCTGATCAGTAATTACGGCTCCGTGGCCTCTCGTTTGTTACCTTTGAACTAAGCCCTGTGCATGGTTCAGGAGTCTCTCGGGTAACACACAGCATGGGGTTACACCATCCCACTGCCTCCACCAAGCTTCCGAGGTCCAGCCTGACGACTAAAATGCTCGTATAGAAGGGAGGAGACAGGGGATCCCGGCTCCCTCTGCTTGCTGCATCCAAGTCACTGACACAGGAGCCACGGGGTGAGGTCGAAGAGGAGAAAACCCTGGAAAGCAGCGTTACCCGCAGCACTGGGACTCTGGCCAGCTAGGAATTCAGGAGTCACGTAAGTCCTGTGTCCCAGCTGCGGAGCCGCCAAGTTCCTCGACCCCGAGCACAAGGCCTGAGAACGGCCAGGGCCACGGCTGGGACACAGCGTTGTTCCTCCCGCCTGCTCTGTGCCTGCAGTAGGGACCTGCTCCCCTTCCAGCACCCAGGCAGCGCTGGGCAGGGGCAAGCCCACCCCGAGACATGCACGGGGCTGCCCTCACCTCTTGCACATGCAGAGAACCCTTGGGAATAGGGCTGAGCTCTGGTTCGTGTCCATAAGGAAAGCCCAGAGGAGCCAGCGGTGACAGGCATTTTCAAGTCAATGCAAGTATTTGCATGGCGTTTATGCTACTATAGGTACTAAAATCACAGCCTGGATCTGAACAGCAGCATCCCTGTCGCGGCACCTCTGCACCCAGAGCAGATCGTTGAGGGCAAGGTACATGCTGCGTGTTTGTGGAGACCTACTGCAGGCAGAGCCAGCGCTCCAGGCACATCAGCAACTGCTGCCGAGCTTCCAGGAGGTCCACCATCCAAGCGGCACTGGTGCCACCGTGTGCTCTGCAGGGTGCAGCCTCAGCACAGGCAGCTGCGCACTGTCTCTGCTTTCCTGTGTCCATCTACAGCATGGCCACTTGCCCGTGTGCATTCCTTGAAGTGTCACCAAAAGACACAATCTGTGAACAAATCTGGTTGGGTTGGCAATGTGCAGGAGACAAACACAATTTCAACACAAAGCTAGCACAAACAGACCAGTCATAGGATTTTATTTAAGGCCCGAATTCAAGAAATTGCCTGGATTACACCATTTTTACCTGGATTCACGTGCTGGATCCAGGCAGCAGAGCATATTGTTTCACCTCACCCACCAGCCAGCACCTGCATTTTTGATCACTTGACAGAATCAGCTGCCACGCAAACAAGTGCACCTCTGTCTCCACATTAGTCATGCAAGCACCCCACTCCTCTCCCACATGTGCGTTCATCCTTGGCCCAGAAGAGCATCTGAACAGTGAATTAAGCTCTTTCCTGCCCATCCCTTTTGCTCTACGTGCCCTGCTGTGGCACTGCCTTTCCCAGCTCATGGATGGCCTCATTCTCCAGCACCTCCACCTTTCCCACACCTGGCTGCAGCACACTGGCCACCATAGCCCTGGCCACCGTTTCCACAGGCACCGAGTAAGCAGTGGGGAAGACCCGAGCCACAACAACCACAAACCCCAGCCACACCCACGCTGCGGGGCGGGACTCCTGGCGCTTGCACAGCAACACCCTGCAGAGTGAGGAGGTAAGGTGGGTCAGGCTGAAACCATCCCCCGGGGAAAACTAGAGACTGGGTTCTCCAGCTGCACCGGGGGCCCAGCCCAGCTTGATAAACACACATGGGGGCCATGGGGCCTTGGCAGGGTCGCGAAACGTGACTGAGCTGAGCCCTGAGACACTAAACTCCTTTCCCCGCAGTGCTGCCAAAAGCAGGATGCCAGTTTTCCTAGGCAGCAAGAGCATAGTACAGCTGAAAGGATACAGGTGAGTATCCCCCCTGCATAAGGTCAAGTCTGTGCAGAGATGAGCTTTGACCTATGTCCTCCAACCTCTGCTCTCAATCCAAGCCTCTTCTCCTACATAGCACGTGACACTAGCATTGGGACGGGCCGTGGGAAACTGCTGTGCTTGCTCCCTGCAGCATGTGCAGGGAAGCAGTGTGCTCATCCAGGATCTGCATTTGCAGCCAGTGGCTTTCTCCACTTCCCTCCCCAGCCCTCCCCTTATGCATCCTTTCTCTCTTTCTCTATATCCCAACGTGCTGCCCTGGCAACCCTCCACCTGAGTCATGTTCCCTCCCTCCTCCACTGCTACTCACGCTGGCCGGAGAATGGTACAGCGATCAAAACCGACAGCCTGGACCAGGTTCTCCACTTCTCCCTGTCAGAGCAGTCAGGCAGGATGAAAGGAGACAAGGATGACTGCAAGCACCATCCCTGCTGCCCCGCGAAGTGGCAGGAGAGAGTTGCTGAGCCATGGGCAGCACGGCACTAATGCCAATGCAAAGCTGGTACAGGCCTGCACTGCCTGGACAGCGAGCAGCTCTCCAGGAAAAGGCAGCGTGGGGCGAGTGGCCATGGTGGACACATTAACCGTTAGTCAGCAGCGCATCCTTGCAACCACCATGCTAACTGCAACTGGAGGCTCCTGAGACAGTATCTGGACACAGTGTCCAGCCTGGGGATCCTGGCACAAGACACTGGCAGACAGCAGTCAGTTCAGCAGATGCTGGGGGCTGCAGCACACAACATACGGGGAAAAAAACTTCTGCGATGGGTATGGGGAGCCTGTGGGTTCTTCACCCCTGGATAGTCCACGTCTCACCTGGACACAGCCCTGAGCCTCCCCACCTAGCTGTGAAGCCATCCCAGTGTGGGGCTGGGGAGCCAGGGTTGGGCTGGAGACCCCAGCGGGTCTTTCTGGTGGTTTGAAGAGGGAGATGAACGCTGCATGCGGGTGCTGTGCTGCTTTGGACGAAGCCAGTCGCATGGCTGTCCTGCCAGCCCCCTTCCCTCCCCCCCTTGCCCCCGGCACCAGGAGGACCCTCGGAGCCATTTGCATCTCTTGTCACCTCAGCTCCTGCTTCCTTCCTGAGTGTCCCAGGAAGAGCCCACCCCAGCTGCCCCCTCACCTTCACGCGGAGGTAGAGGAAGAGGCTGTGCTGGTTTGCCCCCTGGGAGGACTGCAGGACAAAGTGTTTGCAGCCCCCTGCCCGTGCCAGCTCTGCTGACTGCGCGACGTAGTCCCGGTCCACACGGACAAAGCCAGCCTGCAGGTAAAGGGGAGCGGAGGGTGAGCGCGGCGGGTGAGAGAGCGGCAGGACCACTGCTCCCCCGGGGTCCCACTCACCGCACCGGCCTTGGCCCTGGTGGTGCCCAGGCAGCAGAAGCCGACGTCGTGTCCCTGGAAGGCGGCGGCGTGCTCGCTCAGCCGCTCGAAGTCCACCACCACCTGCTCCTGCGGGGAGGCCGAGGGTCAGCGCGCCCGCCCTGGCCAACC